TTTTTTTTTTTTTTTTTTTTTTGAGACAGGGTTTCTCTGTAGCTTTGGAGCCTGTCCTGGAACTAGCTCTTGTAGACCAGGCTGGCCTCGAACTCACAGAGATCCACCTGCCTCTGCCTCCCGAGTACTGGGATTAAAAGCATACGCCACCACTGCCCAACTTTCCTCATATATCTTATAAGATGCTGGGTTTGTGCCCACATCACTGAGCTATCAATACATTCAATTAAAACACATCGAAACTAATGAGGCCTCAGTGGGGTTCGGGGGGGAGGCAGAGGTGGCTCCCATTTGGGAGTACCTCCTGCCAGGTACGTTCATGACTTTCCCCGGTGCTGTCATAAAACACCCTGACCATAGAAATTTAAGAGAGAAAGGGTTTATTCTGTCTCCATTTAAAGGTACAGTCCATCAGGTCAGGGAAAGCATGGTGGTAGGACTGTGAAATTCTGGTCACACAGCATCCACAGTCAGGAACCATAATGTGATGCATGCGGTGCTCAGCTCACTCACTCTGTCTGTCTGTCTACCATCTATCCATCCATCTATCCTATCTATCATCTATCTTTCCATCTTCTATCATCTATCATCTATCTATATCTAATATTCATACATACATCTATCATCTAACATCTATCCTTCTATCGTCTATCTATCTGTCTATCATCTATCTGTCTATCTACCTTCTTTCTTGGAGACAGGGTCTCATTGTATATAGCCCTGGCTGGCCTAGACCTCAATATGGTATCACCCATTTTCAGAGTCAGTCTTCCTACCTCAATTTACCTAATTAAGTAAATCTCGCAAGGCGCACCTAAAGGCAGGTGCCCAGATGATTCTAAGTGCCGCCAAGTTGACAGTCAGTATAAACCTTGACAGTGGGACTAGCAGTGGTGAATAGAATGCTCCCTGCAACACAGTAGATGCTCAATAAATGTAAGTGGTCATAAAGGAGAGGAGGGTGGTTCTAAGCAGAATTGCAGGGTCCAAGGCCTGCCCTGGCATAGGGGAAAACAGATGTTCCCTAATTTCTCACAGTCATACTGATATTTTTGAGGAGAGCAGGGAGGATCTTATGTACCCCCGGCTGGCCTCAAACTCACTATCTAGTCCAAACTGCTTATTCTCCTGCCTCCACCATCCAAGAGCTGGAGTTACGGTGCACACCACCACACGCAGCCACCCAGCTGCATCTCCTGATTTCATCTGCATCAACAGCCTGGCCGTGCCTGACCACATAGGGCTTCTGGCAGAATGAGGAAGGATTATCAGGGCCAAGCATTAGCTCCGAGCCTAGCACACAACTGATGCTCAGGAAATGGGAATTGGAATGAATTATGATATCATTAGTTTGTTTTGTTTGTTAGAGTCTCGCTGTGTAACTCAAGATGGCCTAGAACTCATTATGCAGTCTAGGCTGGCCTCAAAATCAGTCCTCCTGCCTTAACTTCTGCCTACCACAGCTGCCTGGCTTTTTAAAAAAATCATCTTCATCACCATCATCATTATCATCATCATATTATTTATTTATTTAGTGTATGTGCTATGTGTGTGTTCCCATGTAGTTACACATGCACGCACACACATGCACACACACACAGTGTGCATGTGGAGATCAGAGGACAGCTATGGAAGTCAGTTCTCTTTTTTCAACATATGGGAATGAACTCCAATCATCTGGCTAATGGCAAATACCTTTACCTGCTGATCCATCTAGCTGGGGTGTGTGTGTGTGTGTGTGTGTGTGTGTGTGTGTGTGTGTGTGTGTGCATATGTGTGTGCATGTGCACATGTGTGTGTGTGTTTCAGAAATTTTTAGGTAAAGCCTGAAGTTTCTGTGAACATTTTCTAAGGTTACTGAACAGGTCAAGCTATATTTTACATACTCTCATGGATTCAACAGCACAGTGGCATCCAGCCTTCAGGAGCCACCTACTGGGGAGGAAGCATTAGTAACGATGCCTGTCATTCAGTGCACTTTTCCTAGGTTCGGTTTGGAGCCATTCATTGCAACTGGATAGAGATACAGTTCGATCTTCATTGTTATTTTGTTTTGTTTTTGTTTTTCCAGATAGAGTCTCTCTGTGTAGCCCTGGCTGCCCTGGAATTGCCCAGGCTCGCCTTGTACTCAGACACCTGCCTGCCTCCGCCTCTGCCTCTGCCTCCTGAGTGCTGGGATTAAAGCTGTGCACCGCCACCACTACTTGACTGTGTTTCTTTTTCTTACCTGGAATCACTGACTAGAATCTAGTGAGCAGCAGGAGTGACGTGGATATCTTTGTCTCGTTCTTGACTTTGCAGAGAAACATGGGGTCCTTTTCACTGCTGATGAGGAGGACCCTAGCACTGAGGTTTCATCTTCTCACTCCCTCCTCCTCTCCCTCCCTTTCCTTGCTATTCTGGAACAGGTCTCAGTAGCTAGGCTGAAACTCTCTCTGTTGCCGAAGATGACCTTGAACTTCTAATCCTTCTCCTCCTCCTCTGGACTGCTGGAATGGCAGTTTTATCCCACCAAACCTGTTTATATGATTCTGGGTTGAACCCAGGGCTTCCTGCCTGTTAGGCAAGCACTCTGCCAACTTCAACTATACCCCCAGCCCAGGGAGATCTTGCACACACGTCCTTTATCAAGTCGAGGTGCTTTTGGTCACTTTTGTTTTTGGATTTTGCTTTGGGGATATTTTTGTTCGTTTTCTATTATTGTTGTTGTTGTTATTGTTGTGTGTTTGTGCACACAATAAGACGTATGCCATAGTATGTGTAGGGAGGTCGCGGGACGTCAGTTCCTGCCTTCCACCTTTATGTAGAGTCTAAGGATTTAACTCTTGTCTCGGCTTTGGGGCATACACTTTACCTGGTGAGTCATCTCAGCGGCCTCCTTATTTATTGTTTGTTTGAAGACAGATCCCATGTATCCTAGGCTGACCTCAGACTCACTCGGTAGTCAAAGATGTCCTTGAACTACTAGATTCCAGGCAACTTCAATATCTAGCTTGTTGAGTGTTTTTATCATGAACCAACATTGCATTTTACCAAATGCTTTCTTTTTTTTTTTTTTGCCTCTATTGAGATTATCTGAAAGAGCCGTTATTATTGGTTCCCTCTAACAAGCTATTCAGAGCATACGTGTGCATTCTTTGTTTCCATCCACCCCCTTTTCGTTTGGTAGCAGATCTCACCGCTGACTCCAACAGCACAAGTGGACCTCTCTCATCCTTCTCTCCGGCTGCATGGTGACATTGCAAGGACTCATTGTGTGACTGAGTCATAGTTTACATACCTGATGTGCTGCTGATGGTTGTAATAAGGTGTTTTGCAAATTGTGTAACATCAGCCCCTCTGGAAAGTAAATGTGGCAGGACCCTGGGAGTGTGCAAGTGTGTATGAAGGCAGAATGTGGCATGTGACATGGTGGTCATGTGACATTGCAGGTGGTGTCCCTTGGTCCTTGGAGTAGCACTTATTGGGTTCTACCTCAGCCCATGGGCACTGGGAAATGAGGCAGGACCACACACAGTTTGTTGCATTGGCCTGTTGATACTGGCATGGACCTTGCCTTTACCTCCTCGTGTTTCACTGGTCCAGCAGGTCTCAAACCTGAACAAATGCCCCAGTGTCTTCAGGGAACTTGGAGCTCTCCGGGCTGTACTGACAGAGACTTCTGAGTCAGGGCTCAGAGCTCTCTGTGTTGGAGTTGAAAGAGAACTGGGGCGGAAAGAAACTTCAGATGCCATGGCCTTCTCTAACCTTCCTGTCTCCTCCTCTCCCCAGGTTACAACCATCCAGCTCTGGCGAAACTCATCCAACAGCCTCAAAACGCGGTATGTCTCCCTGATATGCAGACAATCTGCCAATGATCAGTCTCACTAAGCATCTTTAGACATGGTTCATCCTCAGCACTTCAGATGCTTGCTGAGCCTGTATCCTGTGCCAGGCACTCAGATGCCTTACTGAGGTGCTGCCTAGGTTTCCTCAACTTGAACTAGAGTCACCTGAGAAGAGCAGAAGCTCAGTAGTAGAGAAAATGCCTCCATTCCATTGTTCTGTGGGCGAATCTATAGGACATTTTCTTGATAGATGTGGGAGGGTCCAGCTCTCCGTGGGCGGTGCTACCCCTGGGCAGTGTTCCTGGGTTGTGTAAGGAAGCAGGCTGAGGGACTAGAGAGATGGTTGAATAGTTAAGAGCACTTGTTGCTCTTGCAGAGGACCTGGATTGGGATCCTAGCACCTACATGTTCACATCTGTCTGTAACTCCAGTTCCAGGGAATCCCTTACCTCTTCTGACCTCCACAGGCTCCTGTATGCATGTGCTGCACACACATACACTTAGGCATGCACATAAAATAAAATAAATTTTATTTAAAAATAATCAAGCAAGCTGCAGGCAACATGCTAGTAAGCAGCAGTTCCTGCATGGACTCTGCTTCAGTTCCTGCCTCCAGGTTCCTGCCTTGAGCTTCTGCCCTGGCTCCCACGGAGATGGACTGTAACCTGTAAGACAAACAAGCCTTACCTCCCCAAAGATGTTTTAGTTCTGGTACTAGTCACAGTGACAGAACGTAACTATGACTGTGAGAAAAACTCAGCACCCCTACTCCCATGCAGACAGTGACTTAACCCCATATGTCGGCTGAGAATTGTAACCACATTTAGGCGACAGAGTAAAGGACGCAGTGATGTATAGGCAAAAGACAATGATAACACTTAACATATGAACAATGTATATGTGTAAAGTATTGTGTTCTGCTCTTTAAGATTTTTGTTTTGTTTTTTTTTGTTGTTGTTGTTGTTGTTGTTGTTTTGAGACAGGGTTTCTCTGTGTAGCTTTGAAACCTGTCCTGGAACTTGCTCTGTAGACCAGGCTGGCCTCAAACTCACAGAAATCCACTTGTCTCTGCTTCCTGAGTGCTAGGATTAAAGGCATGCACCACCAGCACCCAGCTCTTAAATGTATTTCTATAAAAACTTAATGCATGTGTATATTGTATGTTGAGCATACCACACATACCCCATAACCACCTATATGGTCTATGCTTTATAATAGTAATGTTCTGTATTTCGGGAATGTTTAATAGATGAAGAAACTAAAGAGGAGGAAGATTATATATCTACCTTATTAGCTTTTTTATTTGCTATAACATAAGCAACTTAAGGAGGGAAGTGCTTATTTTGGCTCATAATTTGGGGGTACGCCATCATAATCTAAGGGTGCACCATCGTGGTGGGGAGAGCATGGTGGCAGGAACAAGAGGCAACTGGTCACATTTGCAGACTTGATTTCCCTTCCCACCAGCATTGGGGTAGGGGGTCTCTATCACTTCATATCCTGTCCAACACTTAGAGTGTGTGTGTGTGTGTGTGTGTGTGTGTGTGTGTGTGTGTGTGTGTGTTTCTGTGTGACTCAGAGAAGAATATCCTTGTCCACCCATGTTAGGAAACTTGATCCCTAAAGGAAAGCAAGGGACGAAAAAAGCCCAATCCTAGTCAAGAAGTGAACTCCACTCTTAACTGTGCTGGGAATATAGCTCTTGCCTAGCCTGCAGGAAGCCTGGGTTTTATCCCAGGCATTGTACAAACTGGATGTAGCTGTGCATGACTCTAATTCCAGTCCTCAGGAGGTACATACAATGATATCAGATGTTCCAGGCCATCTCTGGCGGTAGAACAAATTCAAGGCTAGCCTGGGCTACAAAAGACCCTATTCCAAAAAGTCTTTTTTAACCTCAAAAGTGAAGATCTCTTGAAAGAGCCATGGTCAGTTGGCATGCCCTGCCTGGGACGGACTGGAGGACAGTCTCACCTCCAGTTCATTGAGCAGGTGCAAGGGGGAACCCCACGAAGGCGGCCAGTGAAGCCAGAGGCTCAGAGGATGTGTTTACGTTCAGAGCTGCTTTGTTTCAAAACTTGTGCAGATCCCAGATGCCTTGGCAGCTGGTGCTGAGAGAATGTGTCAACAAACATGTCACACATATTTGCAGTGTCAGCTGCCTGCGGACAGTCTCCCCAGCAACACATGATGTCAAGATGCAAAGATCCTGATCTCACAGGGACTCACAGGGACCTTCCCTGCCTACTCCACATACCTGCCACGTCTTACCCAGGCAAGGACTGGTCCTCACCTTCACCTTCATCTAAGCCGTTCAAGGTGGGAATTACAGGTGGACCACCAAACCCACCAAGCATGTCCTTGGGTTCTGGTCCTCATGTTTGTCCAACAAGAGCTTCACCCACTTTCTAATCACCCCACACACACACCTGGCTTCCTATCAGTCCTCTTGGCCACATTAGCACTACTATGAGGCTAGTGATTTCATGTCTCTTCAGAAATGGATACGGGCCCTTGTGGAGTCTATCTGGGTTCCCGTTCTCATGTCTCCAGGGTCATCTCAATACCTTTTCCCACGCTGTGCACTGTGCGTTTGGTCAGCCTGTGTGTAGTCACACGGCCGTGAGTGACAGCTGCGGCTAGGCTTCCCTGCACCTGGGATGGATGCAAAGAGAGGGCCAAGTAAGACACTCGCCAGTCTGTGACTTCCGGGCTGGTTCTACCATTCTTAAGCATGAACTCTGTACTCTCTCTATGCCTTTTCTCCTCAAGGCTCTCTCTATCGATACCTGGCAAGAGGTGCCCACATTGGCAGACGAAGGTCCTGAAGTTCGGAGATGGTAGGCGACTTGCCCGAGGCTATGCAGCCAAAGCCAGTTCTCTCTCCCCTGGCTGCACTTTAAGAGAGCCGAGCTGGTGGCAAGCCTTCTGGAAATCTGTCCTCATTTGATTCTGCCACCACGTGTCCCAGATATCTTCTGTTCTTAATGTCACGCTTTGTCGAGCAAGAACACCACCCCCACATCTTCTCTGGGCCCAGATAGGCAGTCAAGCTGCCAGGCCGCCTGTCGCTCTCCGGGGGCCTTTTTCCTGCAGCCCGTGGCAGCAGTTTGTTCCCACCCTGGTGTGAGGGTTGTTGACTTCTCACAGGCCCCATGAGTAGGTCAGAGCCAGAAGGAGATGCCTTTAAGGAGATGCCCTGCCAATGAACCAAGGTCTCCAGTTGTGTCAAGCAAATGTGTGCCCGGCATTCGCATTTCTGAGCAGAGGTACCTGGAGGGCCTGGCCCAGAATGCCAACAGAAGCCAGCAAGCCCATGCTGGTGGCCTGTCTGTGTATCTTGGGACCAATTGCCTGACCTCTCTGGTCCTCAGCAGTGAGGAGAGTTCACAGTTCATACTTCTCATCCTCTTTGCCCCCTCTGCATCTTTTAGTTCTGCCAAGGAGGGGACACAAAGCAGGAGAAACTACAAAGGTATGAATGTACACCACTTTCTAAACCACATCTCCAAGCCATCAGGAGAATGGTTGCTGGCCTTCCTGTCCTGAGTCTCCCCCAGGGGAGCAATGGCACAGTTCAGACTTGCATTGAGCTTATTATCAGATCATGTCCAAGACAGGGAAGTGTCTTAAAGTCCTCACATCCCAGTGCAGCCTCCATTTGTCTGTTTTGGTGTGTGTGTTTCTGACACAGGGTCTCCTGGAATCTAGACTGGCCTCAGCCTGCCTAAGGACAGCCTTGAATTTCTGAGCTTCCTGCCTCCACTTCCCAAATGTTTGCTTTTGCTGGCGTGGGCCACCATACTAGATTTCTGCAGTGCTGGGCATGGAGAAAGCTTTGTGCAGGGTAGGTGAGTGCTCTACCAGTGGAGCAATGTCCTCCACCCAGACCTCTCTGTGGACTCCAGGCTGGCCTTGAGCTTGAGAGGAATCTATGCCACACCCTGCCCAATTCCTACTTTTTATAATAAGTGTCCCTTTTTTCCCCCTTTTGGTTTTTGGTTTTTTGAGAGAGGGCTTCTCTCTGTAGCTCTGGCTGTCCTGGAACTCACTCTGTAGACCAGGCTGGCCTCGACTCACAGAGATCCACCTGCCTCTGCCTCCCGAGTGCTGGGATGGAAGGCGTGCGCCACCACCACCCAGCCTTATAATAAGTGTTCTTATTCATAGCAAGAGATTACTTTTTCATTTACAAACTGCAAAGACAGTCCGTGCCTCCTTTCTCCAGCTGCCTGTCGTGGAGGTCGTTCTCCAAATGACGGATGCAGGTTGATGCTGCTCAGGACCAGGCACAGCCTCCACTTGGAACTCACCAGTCTACACAGTGCTTTTCTTTGTGATGTGCCCTAGAATCCAAGCCAAGGTGCCAAGTTGCGTTCAGTGTGCCAGTTTACAATCCAGGCCCACTTCCGAGTGACCTCACTCTACCCCTTGAGCAGCCTCTCTGCTGCCAGTCCCTGCTGGTATGTGTCAGAGGGTGAATCCCCAGGACGGCTCTGCTCTTAGTCCACTGCAGTGTGTTCCTCATTAGCATGAGGGCCAGCTCCAGCACCCAGACAAAGAAGGGACTTGGGCTCCAGGTCGACCTCCAACTGTGTCCTTTAGCACAGAGTGCTTCCTTCATCGTTCTCTTGAAATCCTGGACTATTCTGAATTCACTGGCTGTAAAGTACGCCACTCCCCTCCCCCCATACTCATCTGCTCATCTGACCAGTGACTACCAGGGAGTGGGTGACAAATGCACTGTGCTTCCTCCTGGTCCACTGTTGCCCGCTCTCTGGGATCATTCATTCCCTGCTGGTGGAGTGGAGGAAGGAGAAAGGCCACAGGTGGGAAGCCACAACCTCCTAGAGTGTTCCTAGAACCCCTGTACACAAAGATGGGCACAACGTGCTCTCTCCATTTTAAAGATAAGTCGTTGGGGCTTCGCTTTAAATGACTTACCATTAATAATTTTGACTTTGTTTTGTTTGGGGATTTTTGAGATAATGTCTCATGTAGCCAGGCTTTAGACTCACTTTGTAGGTGAGGCTGACCTTGAGCTTCTGACCCTCCTGCTCCACCTCCCCAGTTCTGGGGTTACAGAGCTAAGCCAGCACACCTGATCTATGTTGTGCTAAGGGTAGAGCCCAGAGCTTCCAACCTACTAGGCGAGTCTCTACCACCCGAACCTCAGCTCCAGCCCCTGAAGTTGTTAATATGGGACCTGCCTCACTTAGGGGTTTGCAGTACTATCCCTCAGCCAGAGGCCATTTGAAGATAAATGTGTATCACAATTTGAAAGTCAATGCACATTTCCGTTTTCTTTGGAAGTGTGCTCCTGCCGTCTTTCTCAGCCTGTGGACCTCCCAGCAGCCACAGGGCAGGGCAGACTCATCTTTGAACAAACAACTTGATCTCGGTCCTTACACTTCTCCGATGTGAGGAGCAAACATCGGTTCAGCATCAACTCACACTGTTGGTTTCCTTGCAGAGGGAATGAGTTCTCTGGACCCGTATCTATGAAAATGGGAGACAGGGGATGATTGATGTAAAGATGCTTGTGATGTTCTGACTTTTTTCTCTGTTACTCGGCAGCTCCACCAGCATACCTCCTTGTGTATGTGTGTACACACACGCATGCATGCACTTGCGTGTTTGTGAGTGTGCAGGGGTACATGCATCACAGCACATGTGTAGAGGTCAGACGGCAATCTCAGGCGTCAGTCCCTGTCTTCAACTGAACAGACAGTCTCTTGTTTCCCACTGTGCTCTCCAGGAAGCTGGCCTGAGCTTCCAAGAATTCTCCCATCTCTGCCTCATATCCTGACACTGGGATTATAGACGCTCACTACCGCATCCAACTTTACATGCGTTCTGGTGATCTGAACTTGGGCCCTCACATTTACATGGTGCTATACCCACTAAGCCAGCTCTCCAGCCCCTGCTGCGACCATAGAGTGCCCCTCCCCACCTTTTTTTTTTTTTTTTTTGGTTTTTCAAGACAGGGTTTCTATGTGGCTTTGGAGCCTGTCCTGGAACTAGCTCTGTAGACCAGGCTGGTCTTGAACTCACAGAGATCCGCCTGCCTCTGCCTCCCGAGTGCTGGGATTAAAGGCGTGCGCCACCACCGCCTGGCTGAATCCCTCCCCACCTTTTAAAATTAAGGTGCAATATTGAATTCCAGGCCAGCCTGTGTCACGTGAGACTTTGTCTCCCTGAAAAAAAAAGAACCCCAAAACACTAAAATAACACCAATGAGCCCACAGTGCCACTTAGAGCCTATTTGAACCCCACAACTACATAAAGGCACCGTGTAGAACAGAACCTGGGTCGGCCCCCGAGAGCTGATGTATCTGTCTGCTGTTCTTTTACAGAGTACTTTCATCAACAGACCTGCCTTGGGCATCCTGCCTCCAGAGAATTTTGTTGACAAGCTCCGGGAGTCCTTGATGTCGGTGAGTTTGCGGGATAACCCTTCCCAGGTTTGTAGCCCCCCTTCCGGCCTGTCTGTCCTCAGAAGTGGCCATGGCGGGGTCAAGGAAGGATGAGGTCCATAGCCAAGGAGGATGGGTGGGCAGATGGCAGCTGATGCAGTAGCTGTCTGGTCCATGATTCCCTGTCTCAAAGTTAAGAGAAAAAAGAAGAAAAGGAGGGACAGAAGGAGGGAGGGAAGAAGGGACGGAGGGAGGGAGGGAAGGAGGGAAGGAGGGAGGGAGGGAAGGAAGGAGGAAG